CTCACCAACAAACCACAGAACCTAACCTAATATTAGTGTTGTTGATGATGATATGGAAGAAAAGTGTTTACCATTTAAGTATACAAACTATGTGGCTCTATGCGGGTGCTTAAAAAAAAATTTATAAAACTAAACCACAGAGCTACATTCTGAAGGTTTTTCCCTTCAGAATATCCCAACTTTCTCAATGACCAAAACGTTTCTTTTTAGACTACCTGTTCACAACTTGAAGGATGCTCCTCAAATTACATGAATATTATTTCTACAAATTAGATACATTCCTTCCTTATTTTATTGTAACTTGTCACAGTCTTGGTGACAGTTTCACAAACTGCTCAGCCTCATATCTACTCTATGCCACAGCCCCCCCTCACCACCTAGTCCTACTGAATCTTGCATGCGAACAGACTTCACATGATGGTTTTACCTACAAACCACAAACAGCAGAGTTTAAATAGCACACTCAGTCAGAGAGCATCAGGCCATGTGTGCCACAGGCTGATAGCAACACTGCTACTAAAACAGTCACTTATAAGCTCCCCTTATAAGACACTTTGTTTTGTAGGTTTTTAGCTGTTTTATTTTCTGATTATTTTTTATGCACAAATATAAAGGCACTTTTTGTACACAAGTTGCATATGTATTATAATCTTACTGTGTGTAATTAGTACTTTTCTATCCATAGTTCCCTAAGCTGCTTGTAGACCTCAGTTTACAGATTATTGGATGACAGAGTATTTTGTATTGTTTTCTTTTCAGCTTCACAAAGGGCATAGATATAACAGGGATATGAATTTCAAATGAATAAATAAACACAATAAGTTTTGACTTTAAGTTCACACTGCTGGGAAAAGAGCCACAAAACTTTTTAAAATAAATATCAGTCTTAGCAGACATCACATTTCAACTTAATTTCACTAAATTCTGGAACAGAAAACTATGTACTGGGTGAACCTTTTTGTTATCCTGAAATAAGCTTAAACAAATCTTACCTTTAGCATAAAACAAGAGCAGACCTGTAATAAACTGACTTTAGTGACTTTAAAAGGGAGTTGTTCTTCTTAAATTGAAAAACATTGCAACCCTGTACTCTGCTGAGAATACTGCAAATGATTACTTTGCCAAGTATTTTCTGAAAAGTTTAAATGGGGTTAACATCTCAATTCACCACAAGAGGGAGTCTCAACTCTTATTTGCACTATCCTGCTGTTACTCAGTGTGTTTCTTTTTTTTTTTTATCAATCGCTGTTTAAATCTAAGCTGTTCATCCATGAAATTATTACATGATAAGGCAGAAAAGTAGGACAACCCATCCATACATCGTGTTATAAATGTTTTACTAATGTGAATGTTTTCCATTTATATACATTAAGCATTATAAAATATATGAAAGAGATATAAACATCTGAAAATAAGTGCGCTATATTGTTAGTGTAGCTGATGGAGAGATAAAACCCGCCAAATTTAAACAACATTTCTGCAATATTTAATGTTATTTCTTGTGAGGCTAAGATGAATGATGGTTACAGTAGCACCTCCTGCTGGCCATAAATAATCACTTCTATCCAAAAGTGCTATTTTATTTAATTTATCTTTTTCTGATCCCTTCAGTACTTCTGCCTGTCTGCTTGCTGAGACGCACCTCTCCCTTTGTCCCCGCTTGCTTATGTTCTTCTTACTTATACCTTCTTATCTCTTACCCAAAGCTACAAAAGGTGGAGAACCTAAACTTTTCAAGGATTTTCTTGCTGGACTACTTTTAAATATTTTCATGTTACATCCAAGAGAAGGACCAGTCCCTCCCAGCACAAGATGCCACCCTTCACCACAAGGACTTTGACATAAAGTACATCTCCAGAAAATAGCTGTCATGGAAAGGAAAAGTAACTGTCTGCAAGTGAATGTAGCGGCAAATCCTGGTATTGGGAAGTGATACTGTATGACTGTATGATTGGTTTTTCTTAGAAAACTTTTTAATCAATTTGACTGTATGATCTGGTGAACTGTAAAGTGCCTTGAGATGACATGTTTTGTGAATTGGAGCTATAGAACTGAACTGAATTGAATTGAATGACCCTGTCAGTGTCTTCAAACCCCGAGATAGCCTCATCAGGGATTTTAAACAGCAACATGTTAGAAAATGGTGGCTTGTTCACTTCAGGTTGGAGATTTCCTGCATCAGGTAGAGGAGTCAAGATATCTTGGGGTCCTCTTCAGGAGTTAGGGGAGAATGGAGCGGGAGATCAATAGATGCATCGGTGCAGCTACTGCTATAAAGCGGGCGCTGCTCCGGTCTCTTGTTGGGAAGAAATAGGTGAGTGAAAACGAGAAGCTCTTGATTCACCGGTAGGTCTACATTCCCTCACCTATGCTCATTAAATCTGGATCGTAACCTAAAGAACAAGATCCGGTACTATAACAATTGTTCTCTGCAGGTTGGACTCTCCCTTAGGAATAGAAGATAGGGTAAGGATCTCAGTCATTCTGGAGAGGCTCAGAGTAAAGCAGCTTCTCCTCCACATCAAGAGGAGTCATCTAAGATGCCTCCACTTCATGTGTGAGTGCATTTCATCCTGCAAACAGCAGCCAGCACTTCTACAATCATCCCATTACATTTACTTGATACACAGAAAAATAAAGAAATATCTTTTGTTGAAGTTCTAAATCTCCAAAATCTTAGTCATGAATTTAACTATTGTATTGTATTTTATTTACAGGTTAATCTGTATGTGGTTCATTTGTAAAGTTTTCTTATTCTAATATGTTTCTTTGCTTCATGAGCTCTTATTTCCTCCTGATATCTTAAAATCTTACAAAAGACCTAGTGTGAAAAGTGGCTTAGTGGTTGGAAATATGGGTTCATTTTGTTGCTTGCTAACTATGCACCATTGCAAGAACAGCAGCAGCAGCAGCAATGGTCTGCTGTTACTGTGGTCGAAACAACCATGTGTCATATTTCAACTAGCTTGTGTCAAACCAGCTGCTGAGAAAAACTTACAAAAAGCGGCATTAGATTAGATTAGGTCCATTTATTAGTCAATCTTTGGGAAGTGACATGTTTGAAAGAATTTGCTAATAAAAAAGGTTTTATATTAAATTACCAAAGATGAACACAACTACAATTTTATATATGTTAGGTACAATATAGATTCATGAAAGAAATTTCTACTATGTTTTCATTGTGTTAAACCAAATTAAAAAACTCAGATACGGATGACAAATGGTAACACTATAAAAGCACTATAAACGGCTCTTTTGCTAGATTTGCTTTTTAAGAGTAAAACATCCTCCACTCAGAATAAAGGTTAGATAAATTATAAGCCACTAACTTTAGCATAAGCAAGGACCCAGTTCTTTCAGAACCACACTAAAGAAGTCAAAACCAATGTGGTGGAAAAAACAGAACTTATCTTTTACTCTGGGTATATCCTCTGTATTGCGGAAAAAAACATATCACCTTTTCAACTTAAAGTTAAGCACAGACAGCTGTTTTTGAGAACAATGCTTTGAACACTGCAAAACTTGAAATTTGTTATCCTTCCTGTTTGGTTCTACTCTATGGCTCCTTCTGAATACCTTAAAATAGCTCCTCACTCCTTTGTCCAGCTTCTGTCCCTTCAACTCTCATAAGGTTAACATTAAGAACACTACCCTGGGTAGGAAATGAGCTCTAGGCTCCTGTGTTGAATCCAGACAGCCTTCAGTCTTTCGGACATCAGCTCACACGCAATGAACAGCTTAAGCTCTACATTATAGGGGCCAAAACATTAGAAAGTGTTATCAGACAAAAAGGTCAACAAGAATCAGATCACGGCCTGTACCGATTAATTCTTGCAGATCGGATACAGTCTTTGCCAATGCTATGTCTGTTCTGGTCAGACAGGCAACTCAACAAAAAACAAGTTCCAGACAAACTGGAACAAACAGAGGGATAATGAGTAATCTTGAACCTAAAGGAGTCTGGCACACTTTCCAAAATATTTCACACCGGAAAGCAGCTTCTCAAGCATCAATAAAATCAGTCTCAGGTTGAACCTGGCAGATTTACTGCCTTAGTGAACACTTTCTGGCTATATAAAAAAAACAAAACAAAAAAACAAGCTCACAATCAGGTCTCAAAATAAGATAAAAATGGAAATGATGGGAAAAATGTTTTTTTCCACCACAAAGGGGTGTACATTTTCATGTGTCACAGAGAGTACATGAAAAAGTCTATTGTTGTTTAGTCTTTAAGATGATCTGTGCATATATATCCTGTCACACAAAGAATAGTGGCTCCTAGTGGTGGATAAGAACATTATGAGGTCCCTCTGCAAATTGAACTGGTGATAAGAGGCATCCTGCTTCCTCTCCCTAACACCTTCCTTACTATCATGGCGACTGCTGGCTGATTCACATCTGCTTTGTCTAATGTGTCCTTACACATTTGCACTTGTTTGTAAGTAGCCCAGGTTCTAGTCCATGCTTAACTCTGGCACCACTAAACTGGTTTATCCCGACCCGCAAGAGAACCACTTAATTCAGCCCCAATTTTAAAATCTTTTTTGAGCTCCATTTCTAAAGTTCCCAGGTTCATATTTAAACTGCCATGTTTAAAGAAAAATATTAACACTAATAAAAAGTCCAATAAGCATTGAAACAACAAGAACTCACAGTCTCCTGTTCAGTTTATTAGAACGATGCTTTCACAAGCTATGCCTACTATTTAAGACATTATTAACAATTTCCAGTCCTCTGTGATCTTCCACAACAACTCATTATGTAACAAGGAGGAACTAATTTTCAAGTGTGTTTATAATGAAACAATAATATCACCAGGAAACCATCTGGGAAGGGGTCTAGGTTCTCACCCAGGTACTGGAAACCAATTAAACAAATGTGGATCTTTCAGTACTTCTTAAAAGCAGAATCCAGCCCAAGTTCCAGTTAAGCTGTAGAACTGATTTGCTTAATTCTCCTATTGTAAACTAAGTTGAATATTTCTGAAAAGAACACATTAACTAAGTCAAATGTTCCCCCTTAAGTTTCACTGTGGAGTAGACAACGTCTTGATTACCAGAATCTTTAGTGGAGGAAAGGTCTGCAGTGCTGTAGGTAACAGTGCAACTGACCTAAAAAAAAGGAAACAGAACAACATTTACCAAGGGTGGTGTTCAAGAGTGTGGCCAATCTTAAACTCTTTAACACTAAGTCAGAATTACACACTGCCCCTTCTTGTTCAAATTAAACATTAAAGATTTAGATGAAATTTAAAGCAAATATCTACTTTAGACAGGTTTTCTGATTAAGGGTGTGTTGAGATAATACTTTGTTTAGTCATTGTGCAGTAAAGACAAGAGACAAAGCTTTGTGTCTGTTATATTGCTAAGCAACAGACAGTGGATCACATATGATTTTGTTAGAACATTTAGAACTACGGTGGCTTGTAAGTCCAGAGGGACTTTCGCTTTCTGCATTTCTTAGGTTGCCAGTTTGTATTTATACCAGAAACAGACCACACCAGAGTTTGTTGGAATACAAATGACATACAATCTTTCTACCAGTAAAAAAAGTAACGACTCACATTATTTTGTGTTACGTTGTCTGTTCTGTGGCAAACTGAAGCATAGCAAACTTCCCCTGCAGGATCAGTCTGCACACAAAAAAGTCATATCAAAAAGCTAACACACAGACGGACTTGAATGCAGTTGTGTTAGAAAGGGCATCCAGTGTAAAATGGTTGCCCAGTTTCTAAGTGAGTCAAATTACAGATCTATAGAGACAGAGCGAGAGAGTACATTTTTAAATATAATTAAATGCTTGCATTTGCTTAAAATAATTTTTCATAGACATTTTTTTATATTTTATAGATGATGCAATCTGCTAGGTTTCCTTTGATACTATAGAAAACTTTTAACAGATCTGTTTGTATACTTTGATTACAACGACTCTTTAAAGTTCCGTAAGATGACGTTTGATGAAAATTGGCTCTGTTTAACTGAACTAAAATAAAATGGTGGTTGTCTGTCAAATTTAGAGCAATGATGAATTTAACAGTGTGGTTGAGTTTTGAACTGGTCTAACTGGGCTTTTACCATATCCTCTGTGGGTTCTGGACCCAAAATTGTCTCTTCAGGCAGTCTCTTCAAGTTTGGTTCCTGCCAGAAATACAGAAAAAGCAGCATCAAAGCTTTTGGTCTTGGTCAATTTCATGTTTAATGTAAATGTATTGATGAAGTTACATCACACATCTGATATTTCATTTTTTAGATATAAAAAAACTTAGTTTTTTTAAACTCACCGTGTCCCCTTTACTCCTATTCATACATTCTGAAAAAGCAATGGGATAGAATTTAGCTTTCATGGTGTAATGAAAGAGTTTCAGTACTTTTTATCAATCATTTCTAATGCAGAAACCAATAATTATCATACACACAATCAAGAGCCATAAACATAAGATAAATATAGTTTTTCACTTGAAATCAAGTTACAACCAGATAAACATTTATGCAAAAGCTTAATTTTTGAAGGTTCTGACCTTTAGTTTTCTTCCATTTGATGAACATCACAATGAATATTAAGATGCTTGTTGAAGCGACAGAAACAACAATTGGCCACCAGTGCAAACCTGGAAAACATAATTACTTACATTAAACATTCATTCATCCTTCCTTAATTTTGAGTTGGATGTCCTGGATGTGAAGATGGCTCTGCCTCTGCCTCCTATATTGTATTCAGCTGATCTGATATCTACACTGGCTGCATTTGATGATACTTGCAGGCATCTTTTTCTATATAGTCTAGGGCGGAAACCAAGATGATTGAACACAAAGTTAAAAAGCTGCTATACTCCTGCTATACAGTGTTGGGAGTGGATAAAAGATATATTTAAGGTCTAGAAATGCCTGGGAAAAATGAGCTTTAAGCCTCAGTGGGTGCTACCATGGTACTTGGCCACAAAACTAGCTTCACTACTGAAAAGCTATTTGATGTAGAACACAGTGACGTTACAGCCATGCTACTGACGAATGCAGTTAAGTTAGCAACGCTGGTACTACTGCCCATCACTGCTAACATCACACTCAGACAAACACTGGTTCAATCTAAACAAAGAACACCCAAACCTAGTGTTGTTTTTTTTGGATCCACTGCAGTGCAATGTACAGCCACCTATATTGGAGAAAACAAACAACTACACAAGCACAGTGCACAGCATAGGAGACCCATTGACTCTTGGTAGGATTCAGCTTTAGACTTGCACCTCAACAACAGAGAACACACATTTGAAGATCAAAATATTCATATTTTGAAAATAGAGGGCAGATGGTTTCATAACACCTCTAATCATTATTTATAGGCCAATCATATAGCCCATGGAGACCAAATGACTCCAACAATTAAAAAGAACAAAGTGTGCTTAGCAGAATGGACCTCCATGCTGCTTACAGTAAATACATCAGACCTCCAACTACAGATTTCTCTGGTGCTAACCAGCATAATTGACAATGACTCCTAGAGAGGTCTTGAAAGTCCGGTTTTTTGTGCTTGTGGCGGGGGATCTTTTTTTTTGTAAGTCCTCAATGGTTTGCTTAATCCAAAAAAATCCAAAGCGGACAAAGAGCTGATAAGAATTGGCACTATAACTGAGCCATCCACAGCTCAGATCATTTTTACCATAAGTCTGCAAAGGTTCACTCAATCGAAGAGGGCTGAGAACCTGCGCTTTCGGTGCTATCTGATATGCAGGGTGTATTACAGTAATTTGTATCATGAAGTAAAAAAAAAGCCCTGACAACACACAAAGCAGGGAAAAGGAAGAATGCAAAAGCCAGGGGACAAACCAGTGTTTTTCCTCATAAGTTAGCAGTATTTCCTTAGCCTGGGTGCCATTCCGAACTTAGTCCCGCCCACAAGGTTTGAGGTTGGGAAGTCGGTCTGGCATTGCTCCATAGTAGCGCAAGTATGATCGTCCACTCTCTGGCGATCCAATCAAATTGTCAGGGCGTGCTTTATATGATGATGGACAGATGATCAACAGTAATGTAATCAACCATGTGACCAAAGCGCGCTTGGGTGACAACAACAATGGCTGCCGCCGGAGAGTTGAGGGGAGTAGATCCTGCTATTAGGTCTGTTCTAGAACATATCGACAGCAAATTAATTTTAAAAGAGGAACAGAGAAACGCGATCAAGGCTCATCTTCTTATTCTAGGCGTCCAACTGCACGCTTTGATTTTTGTTGACAACAACTGTGCCTGGCTTAACATACGTCACGCACTCCGTTGCTCTTATTGGTTGTAGGTCTATCCAATTGAGTGCAGAGGCATTTTTTTTCCTGGTTCGTTCGAAACACGCCCCATAATCACAGCTCTATGGAGCAGTATCAGACTCATATTCTGACTAGAATTGAGTAGGACTATGTCAGGCTAGTATTTCCTTGTATTTATGTGTGTTTCTGGTTATGTCCTTGGGTGAAGTAAAAAAGTCATGATTTGTGCAATAATTTAGAATGTCACTACTGCTACCCTTTTATTGATCTCACATTGGAGAATTTAACCTCTATAGGCCATCCCCTTGGGGAGCAGTGGGCTGCCATTGTGGAGCAATCGGTTGTGAAAGGTGTTGCTTAGAAACCCAGAGTGGCAGTCTATGGGAGTCGGGCTTGAACTCAGAACCTCAGGATTCCAAGCTCAATACCCAACCGCCAATCCCCATACTAGGCTGCCACTCCCCATAAAGGGAGAGAACTTCTTGTTTCACAAAATATCCCTATCTAATGATGAATCCTCTAAAAAAAACTCTGTCTCTGGATTATGACCTGGATCATTACCAAAATTTTATGGATTATTACTTGGCATGAAGAGAATCTCTGGGAAAACCTTAAAATCCTTTCTTACTTTTCAACTTTTAACTTTGGGTTAATCCTGCTAACAGGTAAACAAATCGGCCGTAAATATTACCCCTTGGCACAGGTAAAAGGGGCCTTTTATTAAAATTACACCCTGTCTTACGATATTGGTATGAATAGATCTCAGAATAGATGCATTAGGTGTCATGGTCTTGGTGTTGATGACTTGCTTATTTACTAATTTCATTCGCCTGTCTAATTTCATCCTGTTTCTCATTGCTTATCTGATCCACCTGTTCTAAACTCTATTTAAACTGCCCTCTAACCAGTCATCAATGCCAGAATAGATGTGAAAAAGTGGTGAGAGTGAGTCCAGTGTTAACTGAGTGTTTCTGATTACCTGATCTTGACCTGTTATGCCTCTTAACCACTGAACCTGCTAGTTCCTGTCTGATCTATTTTCCTGACCTGTCTGTAGACTGCTCCTGATTCTGGCTGTTTACTGAACTTTGAACTGCTTTCTGTCACCGACTTGGATTTCCCTTTGGGACCTCTTCGGACTTCTGATCTCCTGGTTCTGAATCCTGAGCCCATACTTGACACAAGTTTTGCCTTTGCCCTCTGGATTATCCTGCCTTCCTTCTTCTCCTGCTTGTTCTCCGTCTTCTGGGACTACAGCATCTGGGACTCTTTGAGGGGCGCCCGCAATGTCTAGTTGTCAGCCGACCGGCTGGAATCTACTTTGTTCTCTGGGTTCGGACTGAACTATAAAATCATGTTAGTGACTCACATTCATAATCATCATCCGTCAGATTAATGTGGTCATTAACCTGTGTTTTTCTTCTGCAGAGGTTCCTGCATTATCAATGCCCTTGCTCTAACAGTAGATCAGCCGTTTTTAAATTAACACTTTTGAATTATCCGACTTAGGTAAGGTGGAGCTTCAGAATGTCTGGACAGCAGAAGATGGAGAGTTTTGTGGACACAGAAATACAGGCATTATGATCATTCTCTCCATATTTCCATCTAATCCACCTTATTAGCACATTCAACAACAAAATTTTTTTCCAATGTGCTGTACATAAAAACAAAACAAAAAACTCAACATATACACAAAAGAGTGGTGAGAGTTTAAAATTAATAAATGAATAAGAATGACACAGGGAAAAACACAATTATGCTGAGGTAGAAGCCGAAGTATAAAAGAGGGTAAGACTAGACTTGAAACAATGTGGAGGCTGTTCATTTATGGAGGGGCAAAGTATCCAAAGGCTGTTGCCAACTACAGAAAAGGCTCGGTCCCCTCTGGTTTTGACCCAAGTCTTAGACACTATTAGACCTCAGATCACTCACCAGAGATTAGATCAAAGGATGTCTATAATATATTGAGGAGCGATGGTGTAATGTGTTGATTTTTTCAGATCCATGTTAAAAGACGAGCCGCTGTGTTGTGGACTAACTACAGATGGGAGAGAGCTTGTTGCTAATGCCTGAATAAAGTTCAAAGCAATAGTCCAGACTAATGCAATGCACTTTATTAGACGTACCATTTCCATGGCAATGATTAGATTAGAATCAACTTTATTGTCATTACACAGGTACAGGTACAAGGCAACGAAATGCAGTTTAGGTCTAACCAGAAGTGCAATAGCAGCAAGTGCAGGATAAATAATGGTTCCATAAATACAGGACATAGGTTTCTACTGAATGAGTATAGAGATGAATACCATTTTAATAATGAATATAATTTATAGATCACTAGTGTTATGAACTAAATTTACAGCTGGATATGTACCGAATATAATATACATGTTGATATTACTAGAAAAACAGGTTTTTACAGTTACGTACAATAGGATAATATACAGATGGGTTTTACTATAAAATGAATAAATAAAGTTTGGACAGAAGCTATCTAAATTAAAGTGCAGTGGAAGGTAATTGCATATTACAGTTAAAGTATGTTATTGCAAATATATATGTAAACAATTGGTACTGTGAATAAACAGTCGGCAGTGCAAATATAAGCAGTCGGCAGTGCAAATCTCAGCTCTTCATCAACTTGCTAGATTAATTAAACTATTGGTTGATTTTAATTTCGTTGTATCAGCTCTCAAGACTCTGTAATAAAGCTATCAACAACTGCTGGAATTCTATCATAAAAAAGGTATTTTGTAAGATAATGCTGCTTTGCTCTGCTGCTCATTAAAAGTATTCTTTCAAAAAGTGGTAAACTCATATTTTTCTATTGTGCTGACAAAGCCTAGGTTGTATTTTAACTGATAAACAGTAGTAAATAACCCAATTAAAAATCCATTTCCTTTTATTTTTATACAAAATAAAACCTATAGAAATCCAATCCTAAAAGCTTCTGAGATAAAGAAAACACTTTTCCATCTTACCTGTGGTCTGAACTTTTGACTGGTGGCCAAAGGTGAACAGCTGAATTTTTCCAGTATCAATATTTGTAACTTTACATTTAGATCGATAAAGTGGTGAGTTTTGATGAAAAGGAGCAGTCAGTGCCACAAAAGAATGAAAAGCTGGTATTGATTGATGGTTATGTGAGGATATGTTTCCTTCCCCCTCATACAGCCACTCCACTTTGTGTCTATGGTAGTTATAGTCCACCACAGAACAGTTTAAGACAACTGAATCATTGCTCTTCTGTTCAGTCACTGATGAAGATAGAAATATTGAGGGGAAACACATTAAACCTTACATCACTTACAAAATACTAATAAGCAAGAAACATATAAATACTTACTTTTAAAAACAGACAGGAGAACAGAAGAGTTCTCTCCTTTTCCTGCAGTTAACTGTCGGCAGACGTACCGACCAACGTCCTTAATAGTGACATTCTTTATCACTAGAGAACAGTTGGCAGTAACATTCAGTCCCCCTGATTTTTTTTTTTCATTTAACTGACCATCTTCAAACAATGTCACTTTTAGCATGGACCTGATGAAGCTCCAAGTGGTTCTGTCACAGTTCTTCTGACCATCAATCAAATTTTCACAAGGCAAAGTGACATCATCACCATCACTGACAATGAAGACAGATTCAGTATTTCCTGGGGTTACTGTTCAGAAAACAAGTTAAACAGCAAAAAAAAAAAAAAGAAAAAACGGTTAGGGTATGTTATACAAAGGTTTTTATTTCTCAGAATTCGTTTTTTTAGTTAATTTAAAAATGTGTCGAATAACTGTTAATTCAGGTTGTAATGTTTCTGTTAAACGTTAACTTACCTGTAGATGTAATGATCAGTATCAGGAGTAAATACATTTTAATCCCTCTGTATCGGACCAATGTTTCTCTCTGTCTCTTCTGCTATCTTGTTAACAAAAGACTCGGTGGCTGAAAGTGTTTTGTACTTGAAGCTGAAAACATTGCATGCTGCATCAGTTTTGCATGGTGTTACTTCCTGATCACATCAGCCTCTGTCTCACATCAGTGACTGGGTTCATTAAATGATTTTAAAAAGTATTAATCTAATTTAGAGTTTATTTAGAAAAACAGATTAAATTCAATTACAATTGTGTGTAACACTTAGGTTGTTCAAATATGTGGGAAAAATATACATACTTATATAATAAGGAAATAAGAAAACAAGTAACAGACGTGAGCAGATCTGAGGTTGGAGAGGTGTTAGTTTCATACTTCTTTTTTTTCAGTATGTTAGCTCAGTTTTCAGAATGTGTGAAATGGTTGCCCCCAATTAGAGTAAAGCTATTAAACTTTAATTTTGAGGTGGCTTTGATAAGTATTTTTTTTTTATTAATTGAAATTATAGATATTTATTTCTTATTACTTTTTTTTAAGTCTAATATATGAAAAACCTCCGGCAGGCAGGCCTTGTAAAAGCTTGCTGGCAAGTGCCTGTTTAACCCTTCACCTCTTTTGGTTTTTCAGAGCAAAACGAATGTGACAGGAAGCCCACAATTTGCAAAAAAGAAAGTCAATGGCAAAGGGAGTACCAAAAGGCAAGCTAGGAGGCAACCCTTTGCACACATTCTGCTGTTGTCATAAACTGATCCAATAATGCCCAGCTGTGCAGAGTTTGGCTTTGCTGCCTTGTACCAAGAAGGTTCTGGGTTTAAATCCTAATCTTCGTTTTTCGGCATGTTTTAGTCAAGTTCTCACTATGTGTGCATGGGTTTACTTAAGGCCCTGGCTTCCTTCCAAAGTTAAAAAGAAATACTGATGACTTTAAATTACCCTTGGCAATTTATAAAGTTTTTGTGCTCTGCTTTGTTTGTCTTGTATCTTTCTGTGTTGGCTTGTGCTGAACTGAGGACATATCAATGTTACACCCACAGATCACCCAATAACCACACCCTCTGCAACCATGCTCCAGTAGGCCAGGCAACTGGGATTGTATTCTAGCTGTCAGAAAGTGAGCTCCAATTGTTTTTTAACCTCTTAAGCCCTGAGGGTCTTAGGAGCAAAGTCTGCCTGAAATTACATATGTAAATTAAAACAAGTACAGCTCCCAAACTATTAATTGGAAATACAATTGATTGTATCTGTAGGACAGAAAGGCATTGAAGAATATTTTTCAGGTGGAACCACTATTTTAAATGTCACCATGTCTTATTTATAGTTGAATAAACAGAGAACAAATGCAAAATATTTAGCCTTGCCAAAATAGACACTGCAAAACACCATGAAACCCCATTTGAAACTCTGGATGAACCCTCAGACTTTGTAGATCCACATCTTGACTATAACCCAAGCAAATTTGGACTGAATAGGTTAAAGAATGTTTGTTCCAGAAAGGTTTCAGTGAACAGTGTGCTAGGCGGAAATTTGATTTTGGCACAGTGGTGCCCAATCTGACCAGACAATATGCTGATTTACATTATTGGAGACCGTATGCAAATAAGGCAAAACCTTTTCTCCTAAGATTTAGCCGTTGTTTTTCTTGTGATGCAACATCGCTAAAAAGAGGAAAGCAGTGAATTGCGCCTGGCCAGTGAAGGACCTTTACACACAAACCCCCACTTTTTGCTGAAACATGTACCTGTCCAGTAAATTACTGTACTACCCTGTAATCCTGGATTATTAGAATAAAGACATCATTGTTTAACTTGCGGTTGTTTGTGCTTTGTACAGCGAATGGTTTATCATTCAGGCCTGATTCACCCTTCTTTTGGAGACATTTAAATAAACAGAGACAAATATTTCTTTGGTTGGCAATTAATAGCTCTGCTCAGCCTAGCCTAAGTCACTAAATTGGTGGGAATAACTGGATTTTAACAGGCGGTCCAGAAGCCACCCGGATGTAAAAGGCCCAAAACCCTGGTAAGTAAGCAGATTATAGTTATAATTATTGAACTAAAAACATTAAATTGGTTTTACCTCAGGTTTTTAACAATTGAAATAATTAACTACATCTCTAGTTCTAGTTAATCATATATTCATAATCTACAAGTGAAATATCACAACAATTTATTGAAATTTAGCATTGACACACAATAATATGACCTAACTGAATAGAAAATAAGACAAATTGTATAATTTTTGTCAGCGAACAAAGATATTTTATTGAAATCAAGAATTAGAAATCCAAAAACTGTACAAAAATGTAAAAATAAAGTATAATCAGTATAATCAGAAGTCAAGAAAATGTGAAAAATATGTTTTCATGCAAATTATTCTTTAAAAAAATTGCAAAAAATGTTTCAATTGTGAGGTGTGGCAATTTGATTTTCTTTCCACCGGTTAGTATCCTTTCTTCGTTTTCATTTGTTTTCTTTACAATTATGAGGCTTGAGGCTGAACATAGCTTTCTGGAAGGTGGCTGGTACTCCTTCTCTTCTGGAGCATCATTGCTGTGAAACCAATCAGATATATGTTGAAGAATATATTTCCTCTGAAAACAACAATAACACTGTAGCTGCGTCTGACACTGACTTATAATTATCATGGGAACATAAATTTAAGGGAGTTATGATACATCAGGACTTAAATATGTATCTATGTAGATCTTTGCAGAATATAAATCTCACATTGAAGAGAATGAAGTCTCAGCCATGGCAGGGCACCTGGTCTGCTATATTCATGATGGCCCCGGGACATCCTCCGGCCTATAAAAATAAATAAAAGAAGTTTATCACAAAAAGTAGTTTATTACAAGAAAGCAGTTAATTATACACAATAAGAAATGTTTTGGCGGAATGTGGGTGTTATAAAAGTTGTACAACTTCAATCTGGCATACGATACACGTTGGGAGAGGAGAAATATATATAGCAGCGTTTTACAAATAAATATAGGTTTTTTAATGTGCGCTCTTTTTCAAAAATAGCAGAGACATGCTGTATAGACACAATAAATGAAATCATTTCCCATGAAAACAGCACATAAAGTGCCAAGCCCTGCATCTTGCCTGGATATTGTTCTGCAGCACAAACTCCCACACTGCTCCTGACAAGAGGTAAGTGACCCATGATGTCAAAGCTGTGCCTCTAGGTGAAAACACTAATTATGGATTTAAAGCAAATCTAGACTATACATTTTTTTAGTTAATTTAAATAAGAAGTTATAAACTTACAAGGTGAATTTATTGACATTTACATGCAGCTGTAAAAAATAACCTCTATAGTTTATAGTGTTAAAACAGATAAAAACCAGATAGATATTCTCTTTATACCAATAAAAATATAATATGAGATATTATTTTAGATATGTAATTATCTAAATCTATTCCCTTTAACAAGTTGCATCTCCATGATGAATTTAGGTAATCCATAACTTCCATGATTCCGTAAATATGTTTGTTTATAAGCTACATCTGAATGGAAATGTAATGGTAACAATTTAGTTTTTAATGAGAGATATTGAATTGTTAAAATGATACTGAACTATACTGGACCGAGCTATGAATGGCCACAAAACTAATGAATGTCAGCCTTGGCTTGAACATGTTGGGTGAGAAGAATCGGAAGTCGGTGGTGATATAGTTATATGTGAGGATGTTTCTGCTTCCCCCTCATTCAGCCACTCCACTGTGTGTCTACAGTAGTAATAGTCCACCACATAACAGTTTAAGACAACTGAATCATTTGTCTTCTGTTCAATCACTGATGAAGATAGAAATGTTGAGGGGAAAGACATTAAACCTTACATTTCCTTCCAAATATTTTTTGTGTGCGCTCTAGTGAAGCAGCCTAAAGGTATATTAGAGGATGTTCTTTTTTAATTTTTTTATTGGGATCATCGAAATAAGTGGTCCTCCTAATTGTCAATCATTCTGGTGATATGTTTACGCAAAGCCATCCTACGTATTTGTCCCCATTTTCTCTTACCGGTGGCGATTCTGAGATAATGGAAACACTGCAAATCTTCTTTTGGAAAGCAAGTTTGTATTAGCGCCCAGAGAAAGAGGCAGGTGCATGCTCTTAAACCTGCATTTTTTTTATAGTGGAGAGGGAGGGTCTTTAAAAAAGATATCGTCCACAATAATTTTAATGGGCGTTCCCTATTGGGAGCGGGTACAGAGTTCAGCATTTGAATATTTTTTTAAGTGGAGAGGGTCTGTCTTTCAAAAATTTCTAAAATCCCCCACTGTACCTTTAAGCAAGAAACATGTAAATAATTCATCACCAACTCTGACGACAAAGTCAGATTCAGTATTTTCTGAAGTTGCTGTTCAGAAACATATTAAATGTTAGTAAACGTAGGATTAAGAGGTAATAAAGTACAATCTAATTTAAACTGTATTTATAAAAATATAGGACAAAGATAAAGATTTTTAGTTAAAGAGTATGTACAATTATTGTTTATCTGATAATGTTTTTGTTAAAGTGTAACTTACCTGTAGATGTAAGCATCAGTATTAGGAGCAAATACATTGAAGTCCCTCTGTATCAATTCAATGTTTCTTTCTGTCTCTTCTGCTATCTTGTTAACAAATGACTCAATGTCTGAATGTGGTTTGTTCTTAAAGCTGTAAACATTGCACGCTGCACCAGGTTTTCAAGGTGTTACTTCCTGATGACATCAGCCACTGTCTCACATGAGGAACAATGGTTTTGTCAATGTTTTTAAAAAGTATTATTACAATTTAAAGTTTATACATAATACAGATGAAATCACATGATACTTTATGTTAAGTATTTTTTTTATATATATCTCAAATATATATATACCTAGCTATATAACAAGGAAATAAGTTAACAGACATGTGAGCAGATCTGAGGTTAGAGAGGTGTTAGTTTCATATGTGAGCTGAACCTCTCAGTATGTGGAGCAAAAGCATGTGATCTGGTTGTTCCCCCATTTAAATGAATGCTATTAAGCTTTAACT